TTTTGGACACTATCACACACATGATTGAGTCAACAATTTATGGCTTTTAAAAATAAGGATTTTGTCCTCTCTTAGGTTTATTGTTTATCATAATCATCTTTCAAGTGAAAAGGCTAATTTACTCTTTCTATAGGAATATTTTAAGCTTGATTATCATAATATTACAGCTGCCTGAAAAGGTCTAAAACGGGACATTGACCTTGAATGTTTTCTGCATTGAGCTTGTGGTGCTTAACATTCAGGGAAGAATATAACTGCAGCTCATTTATTAATATATAATCTCAAAATGTTAACTATTGCTCTGTAAATACATGCCATGCAGATTATAGAATGCTTGTAGGACACTCGAATATGCATTTCATATTTTAACAGAGTAAGCATGTTAGAAAGACAACATAGCTAGAGTACCTTTTCTCATCACAGTTACTGTAGTTCATCAGTTAATTTTTACTGACATTTTATCATGTATAATATTACTTTGACAAAATGAAAGTGAAACAATCCTGAATTAATTAAACTGAAACAGAATGGCCATGGTCTCTACTGGTTTCTCAATCTTCTTTTGATTCATTTTATTTTCCACTTTCACAAACACACTGGACAAGAAGTTTAGTGTGTTATGGAGATGAGGTAATTACTCCCCCAAACCGGCTTTTATTTATTTATTTATTTTTAAGATGGACTAGGTAAATTTGGGAATGGGATGGATTGATAGGACAAGAGGTTTGTCCAAAGGAGAGGTTTTTATTCGTGCCTCTGTGGAAGCAATCACTTTCAATGGAAATGATTGCTTCTTGCCAATAGAGACAATAATTTAAATATCAAAGCTCGTGGCCTAGAAAGGAACAGCATCAGAAAATGAGGTGTGATGAACTGATAGAGAAGTTGTGACAATAGAAAGTAAAGTAGTCTACCGATTCCAGAGGAGTCTTCAGGATCTCAGAAGTGTATTTTTAAGTACGTTGATACACAAAAGAAACGCCAGTGCAAAGACTCAGAATCAAGGGGAAGATGAGTGAGGTGACCTGAGCAGGGCCACACAGCTCTTGAGGGGGCAGGCCAGAGCCTCGGGTCTGGGTTTCCTGCCGTCCTCCAAGGTTCTTTTCTACAGGGTGCTGATTGTAGGTGTTCTTTTGAAGTTACAGATAGTAGTTTTGAATAGTTTGGTTTGCTTTTTGTTATTTGGCATAAGATACCATACACAACAGACATATCAAGGACCACAGGGAAGGTGGTTCAAAAGGTAAACAGTTTTTCACAGGTTTCATGATCTTGAGGAAGGATCTGCAAAGGTAGATGACCAGATGATTTGAAAATCCGAATGCATTATACCTTGTTCGGTTTTAAATATTTAACAAATAGCAAACCTGCAATATAAGATCAATCTTTGCTTCAAACACCATGTGGCAGCTATAAACATTTTAATGCAGATTAGTTCTGTTAATTTTCAGAACAGGAAGCTGGCGGTTGAAAATAGTTATCTGAATGCAGTAATAATGAGACTAGGCATTTCTCATCAGCTTTAAGAAGTCAACCAAGAGTGTTTTAGGAAATGATTTGCACTAGACTAAAGTAAGATTTCTGGTACAGATAATGCATAGGAATCTACCTTTTGTTTACACTTGAGTTTTGCTTGTTACTATTCCATTTACTATTCCATTCTGTTATTTCAAATGGAATGAAGTATATTTTCTGCTTGGTGTCCCAGTAGTTCTCTGGAGGCCTGAGAATAATATTTGGATTTTTTGTGACTGCTTTGTTTAAGAAGAGACTGAAACTGGGTATAGACTTGATGCCTAATACATTGCTATTAAGTAATTTATTAACGTGCTTTGTGAAGCAGTCATCAGAGCTCCTTTTGTTTGGTTCCACTTATCCTGCTTTGGGTGGACTCCTTGTGGTAAGATTGTGAAGTGTGTAGACTGATTAGCAGTAGATGTTTATGCTACCCTATTTTTCTATTTATTTTTTAAAATTTTATTCACCCTCCCCCCCCCCCATCCTTTGTAGTTAGATTCTGAAAGGTTTATGCTCAATTACTGTCTGGTGTGTTTATTTCTCATGTGGCTTGTGTACTCTTTCCTCTTCAAGGCAAGTAAATTCTGTGACTAGGGAAGGTTCTTGGATGACTAAGCTATGCATTCAGTAAAATATTCTGGGAGCTGTCTCACAAGTTTAGAGCAGTAGCTATTGTTTTACATTTTAAATTGGTTAGACAGGATTTAAGATAGTCAGTGTAATCTCAGGTCCTTGGCTTGTGGAGGTGACACTTTGATCCCCTGGGGAAGCATAGAGCTCCACAAATCTAGCACACGCCGGTCATTCAGAAGCAGCTGGCTCAGTGGACGCTGCACCTTGCATCGATGAAATATGTTCGTGAAAGATCAGTGCGGGCTGCTACACCGGGGATGTTTGTGCACGTTTCTCTGTGAGCATAGAAGAAAGACTTACACAAGAATATGAACCTATGATTGAAAATATACACCAATGAATTCAAGTATTTTATAATGGGCAAATAAGTACCCAAAGGGAAATAAGACAATTCTGGGAAATAATAGATAAGTCTTATGAAATATGGTGAGCATAGGTCCATCAGTAAATTATTGACTACAAATCTGGTCTTTAAAAAGCCATTTCAAAGGAGTAATAAACAGGCTCTGTCACAGCATGATAATGCAAAGAAACTGAATGCAGTACAGGATTTTGCACAGGTGCAAAATCTGAATACATTGAGTGCATTAAAAGATACCATGAGCACCTTCAATAATTTATATTTTATTTTTAAAAGAAATGCCCCTGGACAAATTCAGGAAGGAACCTTTTTTTCTTTTCTTTTTTTTTTTTGGTTTATCTTTTGTAATATGTATAATCAAATCTACTAATTACTCTGTCCATGTTAGCTTATTCAAAAATCAAGGCAGTAATCATTTGAGTCAAATATATTTTTCTTCCTAATGCAGAATTGGTTTCCAGATTTCTTCTATCATATTTTAGAAAAATCATGTTTATTTTTCAAAATGTCTATTTATTTATTTTTAATTATAAAATGATTACATGTCTCACTTTAGATTGAAGAGACAAATCTCTTTTTTTTTTTTGGGTGTCTGCAAAATGCTTGGATTTTCTTCTACATCTCAAAGCTCTTTTAATTCACTGCTCACAACCAAATTTACATCTTAATTGCAGAGTTCACATTTAACAATATAGACAGCATAATGCTACTGGTAATTAAGCTTTTACTACCTGCTTTTATACAGTATTCTCAGGCACAGTTTTTGCTGTGTGAGTTCTCATCTACAAACTTGTATGCATTTAGACCACAAATAAAAGGAAAAGGAATCGGGGCTAAGTCTTAGATATGGCTAAATACATGGTTAGGGAAATTGCTTTCTTCTGTGGGGGAACCAAATCATGTTTGTCATTTTTAATTTTCTAATTTTAATGTGGGTGTTCTAGTTTAGTAGTATTTTTTTTAAGACCTAGAAAATTTGAGAAGGTTTAAAGGAAGAGTTGAATTTTGATATGGTAAATTTAATACACACTGAATATCTGAATTCATTTATTATGATCTCAAAGTGACACTGTTTATAATATGTAAGACTTAAGATGCAAAAGGTTGGTAAGCAATGGAGCTGAATTATATAAAAACGAGAGTCTTTCTCCATAAGGGTGTAGTTATCTCTGCCATAAATAGCTGGTATCTATTTCTATGTACATTTGCTAGTATCACAAATCCTGTAGTTTAAAATAGGACCTAAGGAAAGTCTTCATTATATAGAAAGTAAAATTGCACCATGCACTCTTGGAGGAAAAAAGATACCCTTCTTAGATTCGCCCTTTTTAAAATAATAGTTTTTGAGAATTAAGAAATATTACTTGTTTGAAACTAGTTCTTATAATTACCAGACTGTGATGATTTAGGAACTGTTTCTGGGTTGATTATTTTTAAGACACTCAGAATATTTAATTCCAAAACTGGTGTTTTGGGTAAAATTTTGTATAGTTGTATTTGTCTCCCAGTTTGAAAGCTTGTGTTAAGTATATGATCAAGAACAGTTTTGGTGTACTGTTGAATAATGTTCTCCCTACAAAAAGGAGCAGTCTTAATTTTGTCAAAATGCCCTGAGATGGGTTTACAATACTATTTACCCTATAGCCTTCATTCTCCCACCCCTAAAACTGAATACACCAATTTGCCCTGCAGCTGTTTAACTTTGCTTTGAAAAGCCATGCATTGTATATATCTATAAGTAAAGAGCGGCAGGTAAAGAACTGTTTACACATGTGATTTACATAGGCATTTCCTCAAATAGTCTAAACGTACTATTTCCTCTTCTATACTTGTGTAAACCTGCAGTCCACCTCAAAGATGATGATCCCAATTCTCACGCCCCAACAATTTAGAAGCACATCTTTGATATATTTTTTAAAAGCTAGGATAGATCAGGAAAACAGGAAAAGACACCATTACAAATCAGTAAAAAAGTACAGCAGCAGCCCCCAGTGTCATTAAAACACAGACCACAGCAGGACAAACTTAATTCTCTACCTTCCGCAGAATCCTTTCCCAAATTAACTGAGAGTCTGGGAGAGTTCTTCTTTGCAAGGCAAAATAGATCTTAGGTTAGAAACCAGATACAGATCCCTCCAGTGCTTAGAGAGTTAAATTAGTTATGTTTCTTTCGTAGCTTCCCAGAAGGAAAGAGAGAGAGAGAGAGAGAGAGAGAGAGAGAGAGAGAGAGAGAGAGAAAACACCGTATCTACTAGGAGCCCTCGGAGCTCGCTGGTCCGGCTGCTCGCTCTCTCTCCCACTCTCAGTGGGCTGCCTGGGTGCTGGCTCTGCGCACCCTTGCTACCTGCCTGGCTCGGCTCGCTGGGTGCAGCCTCCCGTCGCCTCCCTCCTGATTGGGCAGAGGCCCCCCAATCGGCTGCGCGCCTGGGCCGGTGGGACTGCATATGTAAAGCCCTACTTCATATTAATAAGCTCCAATCGGGGCTTTAAGTCCTTGATTAGGAGAGTGTGAGAGCTTTGGTCCCAACTGGCTGTGCCTATAGGCTTGTCACTAGGAGAACATTTGTGTTAATTGCCCTGTGCTCTGTCAAGGAAACTTTGATTTATAGCTGGGGTACACAAATAATGGTTGCCGGTCGCACATGGATTCGGTAGAACTTTGCCTTCCTGAATCTTTTTCCCTGCACTACGAGGAAGAGTAGGTACCTTTTTCTTCTTTCCTTTTTAAACTCGGCGTTAGGGTGCGTGTGTATTGGGGGGTGGGGGGTGAGGTTATGTGGACAAAACGTGTCTTTGCACACCGATCCAGGTCATGCCCTGGGTATTTTGTGAGTGCTTGTTTGTGTCTGTCTCGTGCCTTTTGTGTGGAGGGTGATCTCCTAATTCAGTAAGTCGAGAATGGTTCTCTGACTACAATATTACCTTTGAGGCAAAGCTCAGTGACTGTCAGTAAAACAGCTGTGTGACAGTCACTTCTTATTCAGGTGCTAAGAATAGGCACTTGGCACAAATGCTTAGTGAACTGTTAAAATGCATCTTTTACCAGGACCCATTTTCCCGAGGAAAGATGTTTTAAAATACAATATTCAAAATGATTTATACTATTGAGTGCCTCTTATGTATTTGCAGTTTGACAGATATTTTCAGCTCCCTGTCATTTCTCACCGCGCAGAGTTAGAGGCAAAATTGCACATTTACTAATTCTCCTTCAGAGAACAATTTAAAACTCACCCTATGCAATTCAGGGCTAGAATAATGTTATTTGCATGGTTAGCGTTAAGTCAGCACTTAACTGACAAATCAGTCCATTAAGTAACATGAGATTTTCACACATTATAAATATTTAAGGGGAGGGAAAAAAAAAGAGAAAAACTAAAGAAGAAACAGTACTGACTTAAAATTTTCCCTTAAATAGATAACGCTGAGGTTGTGGATTTATTTAATGTGTCATGTCCAGAAAATTCATAAAAGTACTTTTGTTTTACCATACAGTTTCACTTGTATGTATGATTATCTTTATGCACATGGAGATATGTATGTATATATCCTTGGGTTATTAAAGGTGGGGGAGAAGTGGATAGGGGGCAGAAGTAAATTAGGCATTCTTGTGTAAATGAGTAGGTCATAAACTTAATTTCAATCTACTGTTAAGATAAAATATTAGTGTGTCACAGAGCTGTCGCTGCTTCATCTTTCTGTTGAGTCAGTTATATAGCTTTGCTTTCACATTACAGTAATACCAACTGTTATAATTCTGAAAAGAGTGCTCTTGGCAAACATTCTCTCTCTAGATGGTGAAGAAAATATAAAACTCTAGAAGATGAGGCAGTGCATTATAGGTAGATGTCCACTAGCTGTCCTTCGTGACTGCATATTGCCTTGCTTTGTAATTAAGTAAGGGATGAAAAGTGACTTGCAGCCTTAGTAGCTGCTTCTGTGTGTATGAGTGTGTGTGTGCGCGCGTTGTGTGCAGGCTCACATGCCATAAACTCACACAGGGAATATTAGCCAAGAGATGGACTTAGGAGGGACAGAAAGAGTGGAAGGCTATGCCTGCATCAGTCTGATACATCCAAAAGAAGATGCAAGCTCAAACTGTGTGAAAATACAAATGAGAAATCAACAAAGGTAGGACAGCCCGCTCAAGTGCAGTTGCAAGGTTAGCACACCTGGGGCTCTAGAAGGGGAGAGTTTAAAATGTCTTCATGTCTGGGTGAAGTCACTATCCCAGCTCACCTAGATTCTGAGCTTTCTCTTGTAAACAAATAAACAAAACAAACTTTGAAAAATCCCCCCCCATCTTCTTTTTAAAGTAGTTGCTTCAAATTTAACTTCTTATTTCTAATTTGAATACTTAGTTCAGATAAGACTCTTGAAACAGATGCATTTAAATGAAATCAGGGCACATGTCTTTGGCTTTGGCGCAAGATTCAAACTAGCTTTCTTTTTGGCTCAATTAAAAGTCATCTTTAAAAAATACAGATTTATTCTTTGGATGCAGTTCTGATGGTTACGTGGTTCACTGGACAGACAGAAAGATCTAATGCTGAGCAACGCATCTGCCTCTCTGTCTCAATTAATAAACCACAGAATTTATACATGTTATTAATATTCATAGTAATTGTGCTGGGTTAAACCCCATCACGTGTGTGTATACATAGAAATGAAACTGGAGTTATGCAGTTCCAGAGGAAAATATTGGACCGTTTCTGCTCTGGAGGCTGTTAAGAAGATTCCGACAATTTATTGACCACCATTAGGAGGGCCTAAAATGTTAACCTTTAACTATTTTTTTTTTTAGGGAATATGCCAGCACATTATAGAATGTAATACTTGAAAGCTTATTTCACATTTAATAGCAGTAATAACTGATAGCATAAATAGATGAAAATAATATATCTGCTCATTTTGACATATGTGTCAGCCTAATCATTCTAAATGAGTGTGCTCATCACATGAATCCCTTTCAACCTCTGATTAAAATGTAACATTGACTACAGGATTATAGAGCGGACTTAATTTTACTGACTGTTTTAACAGTTGTCACAGCTGTTGGGAGAAGGAAAGGCAATCGAAACACTCCAAAACAGGCGAGGCGAGGAGGGAACAGTTTAGTGCATTTCAGCTTGGTCATTGAAATGCAGACATTGATAATGAAACACAGTTGTGTTTTAAGATTCCTGTTTGAAACTATGCAAGTTTTATTTTTGTATGTCCACACTTTTTATTTCAGTGTTTTGATTTTGGTTTCCTCCCATGGGCTCAATTCCCCTTATTAAAAGGTAAACTAAATTGAAATAAGACTATCCCAAAGTAAGATCATTATAATGTCAAAATGTATGTGATAAAAATAGGCAGGAAGGAAAAATTTATACAGTAACAGTGATAAAAAGACAAAATGAGAGCTGATGATATATTATTTTTTTAACAGCTAGGATCTTGATTTAGTCACAGTAGATGTGACATTGTTTGAAAACTATGCAGATACTTTAAGTTCATTTTTCTAAGAAAAATTACTGACACTCCATACTTTGAGTTCATATTACTTTTCTTCTGGTTTCCTCTCTATAAATCTGCTGAAAACACCTGCAGCCTTAAAGGTAGATACTGTAGAAGGGGCTTTCAGATAATTTCTTTGTCAATTGCTGGAAGTGACAACCAACTGCACTTAGGAGTATGTTCTTGAGCTGTAGAGTCTTGTCCTCTTGCCCATCATATCACTAAAGCAAAGAGATTCATCCTGTTTTTGTTTTTGTTTTTCTAAATTAAATAGCCACTATACACCTCCCAAACTATAGGTGATTGAAATGTGCATTATGTAACATATGATTTTCTCCTTGAAGTAAGCAGAAAGAAAAAGTGTCCCTGAGTTAAAGGAATAAATGTGAACGGGAGGGTGAGAGTGGTGGGCACCCACCTTTCCCCAGCTCTTTGTGACAGGATGTTTATGGGTTACCCCTTACACATTTGGTGGTAAGTTTAGAAATCCTCCTTTGACAGAAAGGGCTAGAGAATAGCTTTTCGTTTCCTGGGAAGAGACAAGGGTGGTGGTGTTGGTTCTTACAGCGATGGTTTCTCATCTTAATGTGTTTATGGCACTGCTGCTTTATTTACTGAGTCTAGTGTATTGCAGCGGTAATTAACCCATGTTATTAGCAAAGCCCTTGTGGATATCCATTAATTCTCTTGCATGGATGATCATTTTTCCAGTGTTTTCCCCCCAAGAAGATATCATTGTTCTTCTTCTTTTTTTAATTCTAAATTCACGGCCTTTGAGATATTTCTTTGATTTAATCTGACCTGAAATATACATTGGTCGTCTTATAAAGAAAGGTATTGTAAATAAGCTTTTAAAATGCACGTGGAAAACAGAAAATAAAATATTTTTTTTGTTCTTTTTAAAGTGAAAAAAGAAAAAAAAATAAGGTGTAGAAAGAGAATAATGCAGGAAATCAGTTTTCACACCAAATTTTCCAGATCTTAGAATTTATATTTGTGTCTTTGAGGCCTCTTCATCAGATTTTTACTAATAACACTTTTCGGCATTTTTATAAAATATCGAACCAGCAAAAAAATACATGTGCTTCCTGTGCTAGGAAAAGATAAGGACCATCTCATTAGGCAGGCCATACTTTTGCAATTAATTTCAGATACACAGTGCTATTCATCAAAAGGGGCAGGTAACTTCTCTGTAAGTCTATTTAACAAGACTTTCACAATACCTCACTCCTGCAAGAAGTACAGACAAAGAACAGACCGTTCTTTTGGAAGGTAGGCACTAGTGTCTCATCTCAAGTGCCTATTCCCTGTGAAGCTGTATTCCACATTTGTTTTAGCCGAGTGATTAAACAAAATATTTCACTGTCTTACTTCAAAAGTGCTCTTGAACATTGAAGATTTTGCTGACATTATTTTATAAAATCAATTGAAATCTGTGTTTACAGTTAATACTTACACGTGGCAATACATAGGAGTGATTTCTATGAAACCAATTAATCAACTAAACTTTTGAGAATCATCTCTCAAGCATTTAGAAATGAGAGAAGAGCATGTGAGATACCTCCATAGAACTTTTAACATTGCAGCACATAAGCCTGGCTCTGAATTCTGCTTCATAGAAAATTCATGGAAGAGAAAGACAATACAATGTTGATCTGTTCTAAGTGCATATAGCTTCGGCCCTAGCCAGCTCTCTGGAGAAAATCTTTGATTACACTAGTCCAGTTTGTTCAGTTTTTATCTCTTTTACATCCACTATCCTTGTACTAAATTGTCATTGTCTTAAAGCACATGAGATAGAAATGAATTGTGGTTCCTTACATCCTCTGACAGTGAAATATTTAGGCTCTCTTTCTCCAATCATACTTCCGTGTATATTTGATAGTGCAGGGGTGACATCAAGCATTTCTGCTGTTTGACATTCTTCTTACTGCATTATGTATGTTTTGCCGTTAATTATCATGTTCACAGTCATGTGTCTGTAGATAACACATGGTCTATACCGTTGCAAATAAAAACATATATGGTACATGAAAATTCGAAGCAGTAGATAGAATGCATATACACGTGTGTGCATCTCTGTGTGTGGGGTATGTATGTGGAATTTGCATATATGGGGAAGCGGCTTGTATGTAGAACTGGGTATGTTGTTAAGAATACTTGAATATGTCCTTATAGTAAAGTGAAACACAAGATTTTTTTTTAATCTGCTAGTTGCCAGTTAAATTTACCAGGTATGATTTTAACATGGAATTAGATTTTCAGGTATTTACCAAACCTGATTATAAACTACATTGGTTTCATTATCATATAAAAGATAGGTAACAGGTAACCTAGTAAGTATTTGTTTCTAATTTTATGTGTAATCATTATCATTCCTAAATTCAATATGTAATATTCATAAATAATTTGTAAAATAGGAAATAAGATGCTAATATTAAATGCATAATTGAATGCTTTGGGCTCATATCCAAGAAGTAGTGTTGAATTAGCTCCTAGCTGCATTCTTTTCTTACACAGTTGGGCCTAATAAATATATCTTAATGTAAACATGATAGCTTTTAAATAAATGCAAAATATGAATTTTATGTATCTGTACTACCATAAATATGTAATTTGCTTATTTTTTTTGCTAGAAGTACATATAGAAAATTAATTGGTTATAGTTCCAGAAAGTATATGAAGTATAGATTTCAGATTTATTGAATTTTATTCTTAGAGTTACATTTAATGATTTTGCTTAGAAAATCTGGGTGAGTGTTAAGAAATGCTCTTTCTATTCTAGTTTTTGTCCTAATTCATGTTCTTGTTTAAATTTCTGTATTTAATTTCCACCTTATTTGTTTGTGTAACACTTTAACCAATTTGATGTTTCTATGTAAAAAAAATAATAATCCTGCTATTTCTTTATGCCAATCCATCAGATCAAAGTTAACACCTCTCTTATCTGAGGGTAGTAAGTGACATCTCTCTGTCTTTTGAAGGATTTACCTGGCATTTGATTCTTATTTCAAGTTCATTTTAGACTTAGATTTTCTAAGATCTAGGAAAACTCACCTAATAAAAATAATTTCCATTCAGAATTTTACCAGACACAGTTTTCCTCTGTGTTCTTATTTCAAAAGTGTCAGGTGTTTCTTTTTCTCTGGTTTCTCAGCATTTTCCAAAACTGTGTTCTAATCAGCTATACAAAACCATTATCAAATTGAGTGATTTAGGTTTTGTGGGCATTGTATGTTTGTACATACATACCTACACCCTTTTAATTTTTAATTTTAAAGGATTGGGGGGGGGACACTTGCTTTCGATGTTTTAATGTCTTTACATGTTATGACATTTTAATTTATGGCAATGTGTGTATATTTGCAAGATAATTCACTAAGGTAAACTCATAAAAGAAAAGGTTCAGTTTACAATACATTGGCTTCTCACTAGTCAGTCAATGTTCATTTCAATATATTGGCATAAGTCTACTTATGCATTTGCATATAAAAGCCTAGCATGCAACGTTAGCTATCAGAAATTCAGTTTATGGCTATGGGATTCTTTCACACACTAAGGCAAATGAAAACATTGTGTTTTGACAATTACGATCTATTAAATGCTTATATAAAGTGTTTAGTTCACAGAGCACCCACCTAATTTTAGATTACATTGCAAAATAAAAGAACTTAAAAATCAATTTTTATTCTAATTATAAAGGATACTATTTGTCATGTGCATTCCTCTGTGTCTTCTCTGTTACTTGGAGTGAAACAAAATTACATTTATATACTTTTCATCATTGTGATTGGAAGTAAACATTACGTGTAATATGCTTTGGCAGCACTTACCTAGCCAAAGAAAACAAATTAATATCGGGCACACTGAGGGCTGTCAAGCATATCACAGACATGTCCATTTAACTTTGCTTCATCATACACCTTCTTTGTAAACAGTTGCTTAAGATGAAACTAAATAAAAGGGAAGCTACCAATAAAGTCTCCTGTTGTATCAGAGATTGATGGCTGGTGGAAGTGTCATGAAAACAGACTTGCTTGTTCCCATCTGTTTAAAACTCTAACAGGGCACACTGATAAAATAGGTAGTAATGACTTTTGTCAAAAAAAAGAGAGCGAGAGAGAGAATGTAAGTTAAGCTTGTTGAAATCTTTCTGCTACCTTGGAAGTGACAATGGGATTTATATTTTAGAAGTCTCTGAAGTGGTGATCCTTAGTGGCTCTTGTGTGTGAAGTAAATAATGACTTTAAGAAGCAGAGAATCTTGAGCATGGAGATCCACTTGTAACAGGGGACAGCTTTCTTTCTTTCTCTCTCTCTCCTTTACATACATTTTTAGAGATAGAGAAACAGCCTATGCTTTTCTCTTTGTAGGGTTTATTCAGTATGCAAAAAATAAAAAAGAAATTGAAAAAGGGATATCTACAACTTATGAACAGAAAATGGATAGGAGCATGCTGAATTCTTTTAGAAAATGGACAGGAGCATGCTGAATTTTTTCATTTCCATGATCAGAATGGAATCTTTGTGAATGATAATTCCTTTTTCATCTACTCTAGGAAGAGTCTTCTTGTTTCTAATGGCTTTTGAGAATTTAAACAAAGGGCACATTAAATTAATATTTTACTTTCCTTTTAAAACTCACAATGTATGTGATTTAAAATGTTTGAAAATCTCTACTTTTCAAAGCAGTTAATATGTTGCTGCCTTTTATATTCATCAGCATTTCCTTTGCTTTGAAAATAATTCTAAATTAGATCCAGAAATAGCCAAAATAGTGGGTAACAAGAAACATTATAAAGATTGTGGTACTTATTTAAAAACAAAGATCCAAAGCAAGGTTGCTCATTCCATTGCTCTTTGCTCTCCATGCTTGCTATTCACCATAGTCCTTTAACTTCTCCCCAAATGTAAGATAGTCATGACAAATCATATTCATTTTTCCATATGAAAGAAAGAATACAATTTCTCTGCATAGTCACTAATCCACTAAAAGGCATCAGGTAGTTGGATTAGGAATCTTATAACCACTGATCATTATCAAAGGAAGGAACATGTGTGTTTGTGCATACATTCACACACATATGTGTGTATATATGTGTGTGTGTAAATAGATACATAATGTATGTATCTCACTGATGAAAATTGCATAGATTTCTTAGGAGAAAGTGACTGTATATAGTTAGTGCTGGGCCCTAGGAAATGCCAGAAGCATTCCTTTTATCCATAGTCTTAAATGAGACCTGCCTCATCAGTCATGGGATCATAGTGTCACAGATGGAAAAGCAACCATCAGCTGAATTGTACTGAGCTACACACTTGGCTAATTCATCTTACGGCTCTGCACATCTCAGGAAAGCGCATTCTGTTCTTGGAGTCTAGACAGAATCAGGAGCTGGGCTCAGGTGGGAGCATGCGGCTGTCTTTTTCTGTTCTCTCCTAGCTATGCAGCAAAGGGAGGTGAGGAACAAATGGACAATTTATGCACAGAAGCCCATGCTGAGCTGCTTTTCTAGGGTCAGGAATTTGCTACTCAGTTGCTGAAATAAATTTCAGATTGTTCTTATGTTCTAGAAACGTCATTGTTGTCTTTCATGCTCCAGAGAACTACCCATAGATGATTAGGGGTGAACCATAAACTGGTGTAAGCCTTTTTTAATAGAGAGCAATGAAGAGCAGATCCTCTACTTCAGTTTGGATGATGATGATTTTCTTTTTCATGCCTTTATGTGGAACTGTTCACTTGACTAAGTCTGAAGTAAGATAAAAATAGTAAGAGGTTAAATACTCAAATTGTATTTATTTCTATTTTTTTTTATTTCCTTGTAGTGAACAAAACTTTAATGTCTAGAGCATTGGTGAGGGTTTTAATGATTGGAAAATCTATCCTGAGAATGTGGTCACCATGTGTGACAGCCTTGCTTTCTATCTTGTCTTCAGTTTCTGGGGTAAGTTTGGTGATAATGTTTGCTGCCTTAATGTGCTTATGTTATAGACCCTCTTTGCCTCCATACTGAAATAACCTGAAATGTGGGAGAATGTCTGCTTATTTCAAAAAAACTTCCTTGGGCCCCTTGAACCCTAGTAGTATTTTCTTCTAATATTCTGTTTCTGTGCATTTATTTTGCTAAAGGATCATTTACTCTGGTGTAAGGTAAGTGCATGACATTCATCTCTATTTGCATACATGGTACAATTTATTCCCCACTGCCCCCCCTTCCGAATTCCAGAGAGATTGCCTTCAACTTCTCCTATTTGTTTTTCTTTTGTTTCTGTTTGTTGTCCATTCTAGTTGAGTGCTTTTATGGTGTTTTCTTGATTGTTGTCAGTTTGGGGTCCTCACTGCTGACATTTTTGTGAAGTTAATGTCACAGCAGAAAAACCTATGGCAAACTAGCATCTGGGTACAGTTAGTGGAAGATACAACTTCTGTTTGATAGTGTGTAAATACAGTTAGTTAGTTGGAGGGTTTATCAGATAGCTTGGCAGAAAGAGAGAGGAGCAGAACAAACTGTTTTCAGTAACTGCTGTTCATACACCTGATAAGATTGAGAGAGCTTTTCGAAATGCTGATAGGCTTTGAATAAGAAAAGAATAATCACTTCTCCTGGCACCAGCTTATCAGGAATGAAGTAAAATGCCAACACTTTTACATTAGCAAAAGTAAATGTTTTAGACACTCTATGCCTTTTTTCATTCAGGCTAAATAGTAGGGGTGCTTTTGAGTGCTGTAATGAATAGAAGGATTTATTACCTGGACTAAATTACAGGTGAATATGTTGATAAAGGCACCTTCGCATCAACAGCCGCTTCTTTGATAAGCAGGTGCAACTAGGCTGTATGTTCTCTGGAGAAATTAACTATTCCTTTTTCTACTCCAATTCTATTAAACGTCATTTCTGATGTTAGAAGATGCAGTTATGTCCTGTGTCAGTTGAGTCTCCTTGTTTTCTAGCAGATGGGTGACAGAGCTTATCAAAATGCTGGTCTACGGTGGTTAAATAAGTTAGAGCATTTGTAAGTTTAGATCACTTGAGCCAGACCAGCAAATGCCTGCGTGAGAAATCTGACGTATTTTTCTACACCCCTCCCTACGCACCCCCACAGGAAAGGAAGGAAACAAATGATAAGTTGAGGCCACTTTAATGAGTAGAGAAATGTATTTGTCTGCTAATAATAGTCCATTTTAAATCACCTTCCCCTTAAGAAAAATAAAGAGAGATTGGTTCTGTTCTTCACTATAAACCATTCACTTTCCCAGCTCAACCATTTTCTACTCTTTGTAATTTGACGCCTACAAATAATGTGGCGTATTCAGATTTGATAAATGATAGTGCAAGAGCAGATTGATTGATTTTGGATTACTATTGATTACTCTCAATGAGATCACTGTGACACACTCGAATCAATAGTATTCGATTAAGCAAGGCACCGCTGTTCTATACATTCAGCAGCAGTGGGGAATTCAGGAACAGAATGCTCACAAGCTGATAAATTGACAAAGCGTTCAGCTTTAAATAGCTCTTTGTTCAGCACTAGTTCCTTAAAATATATTTCATTGGAAAGTTCATTTTTTGCAACTCTGGGCCTTTTTGTGAAAGAAAGGTCATCAGTTTAAAGTTTATTAAATTTTAACTAAAAACAACCAGGCTCCATTTAGGTGTAAAATAATTTAAGTACTTACTGCAGGCACCTTCATGTTTTTGAGCTGTTGCTCAGAGGTTTCATCCTTTTATGAAGATGTCAATTGTAAACATAAAAATGCATCACTGGAAAGCTAATGGCTTAAGATTCCGACCGAAATAAAAAACACTCGAAACAACATAAGGTGGTCTTAACTTTCTTCAGTGGAGGGTATGCTGAGGGGCAGCGCTGGCAGCGGGCAGCAAGCAGAACGCCTCGATCGAGCCCCTGGTCGCTGTCCTGCCGCCGCTTCCCTTCTTAGCGGAGGGTGTCCATCCTGACTGGCCCTTCTCCTTTGGGCTGGAAGCTGCCATTGCTACTGAGCCATTGAGATCTGTCCCGAGCCACTTCCAAAGTGTCTGGGAAACCACGAATAGCCCCACGTTTTTTGTGAAGGAAATTTCAGGATGAGATTTCCTGTCACCTTCCATCCTTGTGCAGTCTGAGCATCTGGGTTGAAGCACTGCTCTAACGTTATGTAGACCCACCAAGGTGCTTCTCGAAGAGGTGAGCCTGCCGGCGCCCACTGCCCTGATGATGTGAACCAGCTGATGGGAAAAATTTGATTTCCGATGACATTTTGATGATGAGGGCCTGTCACTCCCAAATATTGGTGGGGTCCTATGAGAAAGACTTCAACTCCTTTTCTAGTTGGGATAGAAATAAATACTAATGATAAAACACACACACACCACAACAAAATTAAAGTGGCCCTCTGAGGGAAAATCAGTAGGAAATTCAACCTTGGAATCCATAAGATTCTCTAACAATAAAAGAAAAAAATACAGAAAAAAATTAAAAAGTTAAAACAATATTCCCTAAAAAACTTTGGGCTTTGTACATGCAAGCAGGGTTCTAATTCTATTAGGTTGAAATTGCCCTTTTTATAGGTCAAAAAAAAAAATCAGCTCTTTATGTGACCTAGCATACTCACTGAATTTATTTTCATGCTGTCCATATTCCTTAAACAAATTGAAAGCGACACCTTTATTTATTTATTTATTTTTAATGTGATGGGCTGTGCCTGGTTAATGGGTGATGCATGGATTCTAGTGAGAATTAAGGCAACCATATTGCAGCATTATTTGTAATGACCTTTTTTTCTTTAACACTAGTAGGGAGTCCCAAAGATATTGGCAAATACACTGAAAAGGTGTGTGTGTGTCTCTGATGCCTCACCTGTTATAGGAAAACAGCTCCTGGGATCACTTATATAAGTGATCCTATATTTAATATGCTGGGGAAGAGCATGGTCAAAGGAATAGCCCCAATCTATCAGTAGGCAAGTCTTGACCTCTGAACAGCACCCATTGCCTCTGAGCAATGATGGAGAGCAACTTGGTGAAAGATGGCTACACCTCAGAGATTGTCTCCTTGGTAGTTCCCCCTTAACAGACCCTTCATCTGCTGCTTAGTATCCCCACCCCTAAAAGAATTAAAATTACGCTCCCTTAGATCCATGCACCAATTTGGGTCAGGGAGATACAGAACTCCCCCCCACACACACACTGGCAATGGAGCCCAGGGTGTTTTATTAGATCCTGCAGCTAGGAAAGGTGGTTGGGGAGATGCAGTAAAGTGATCCCAGAGCCCCCACTTGAACCCTTTCTACCCCAGATGTGAAGCTTCTGTTGGGGCTGTGCTGTGCTGGCCAATAGGTGCTTCTGTGCCCACCTGTGGGCAAAATCTGGCTCCCAGATAGGAAGGAAATTGGCTCTGTCTGTGGGAGGGAGGGGGTCCCGGCGCCACGGCTGGAAATGTCAGCACAAAATGCATCTTGACTTAGGGTCACGTCAGGACTGGGTAAGTTTTTCTCGCTCTGGGTAAGCGCACGACAGCTTACATCTTGTTTGGGAGAGAAGGAGGGTGGGCATCGCTTTACTAAGACTTGATTGAGAGGATGCCTCCGACGGTCCCACTGTCAGTCTAGTGCATTTCCCCCCTGTCTGTGGCACTGAGTTTGATTTATCGCTGGTACTAAGTTCACAAAAGAAGTCATTCCTTTTGATGTTTGCTATTAGACGCACGCAGAGCAGGAGGTTGGGGGTGGGAGAGAGCTGTCTTAGCATACAAGGCGCTGGCCTGGTGGCACCGTGGCCACGGATGGCAGAATAGATATTTTGTATCGCTGTCCATTTTGGATCTGAAATTCTATGAATAGAGAGGGATAGCTCTAGGATATTTTAAATGAAAAATTAGATGTGTTTCCAGTACAGATTCTTTTGGTCAAGAAGCAGAGCACGGCTGTCAAGTACACCTGATTAAAACAACCATTTTCTTTTACTGCACAGGCATTTGTTCTACCAAACACACACAAAAAATGGAGGAATATAAACAAGCCAGTGGGATTCGATCTTTCTTTCAAAAAGGAGCAATTGGTTGCATTTATGGCTGGACGGCAAACTTTCCTCTTATTTGCCAGAGTGAGAAAAGAGTGTGTGGGGTCGGTTTCTTCTGTCTTCTGGACCCCACCCGAGCTGCCTTTGTTTCTGGCTCTGTCCAGTAGCTTTTGTCCCACTTCTCAGTTAGTGGGATTTTTCTTAGCAGCATGCACCCCAGCCCATCAGCAGGCTGCTAGTCAGCAGCAGGTGTGAACAACATAAAACAGGATTAACACTGAACCAAAGTGTGTACTAAAAACAGAACCCCTGCCTGGCTTTGAAAAGGACGGCGGGACTGGAGGAGAGGAGAGACGCCCTTCTGTCCTGCTCGCCCCTTGTTTCCTAAACAGTGTGCAATGGCCTATGTAAATGGTTCTGTTTTGGTGCTGAGGATCAGGCACTCATTCTCTCTCCCTCACTTGTTTTACAACATAAACTCAAACTCACATAGCAAATTCTTCTCAGGCTTGGAGAGGAGAAAAGCAAAACAAGACTGATGCAGTCTGGGTAAATGTTGAGCCAGGATCATAGGTTAACATGGCAAAAATCCTTGTCTCCCTTGCAAATTAAAAGTTGAGAGTCCTACTTCCCACCTCTAAAAACGAATACTGCTGTCTTGTTGATGCTGGATGATTTTTGTAGTTGATGTTGTATTTTAATTTATATTTTTACTAAGATAGGAAAACCACAAATAAGGAAAATAAGCAATTGCTAGCGATGATACACCCTCCCTCCAGATTCTTCTTTCTCCCCATTAGCCGTCTTGTTCCACCTAGGAACAAGAAAGTGGACCCCCCCCCCCCCGCCAAATCATGTCTGATATAGGGAGCTGCTGCTGAATTCAACAAATTGAGTTCACCGCATTGAGTTTATGGCATTGAGTT